CAGATCGTGTGACGCAATTTACTTTTTTGGCTTATATCTTTTGAATTAGGCTTTTTGAACCGGATTTTTTCACATATTCGCGTAGAGTGATTTTTTCCTTAACGGGATTGGATATTTTTTTTCGGTTTCAAGCGTGCGTTTTCGAGAAATAGTGCCGGAAGTGTCAGTGGCTCTCAGATCGTGCTGCGCAATTGACTTTTTTCTCTTCTATCTTCGAAATTAGGCTTTTTGATTAGGTTTGTTCTATATATCAGTGTAGAATGGAATTTTCTCTAATTGGATTGTATACCTTTTTACGGTTTCGAGCGTGCGTTTTCGAGAAATAGTGTCGAATGTGTCAGTGGCTGTGAAATCGTACTGCGCAATAGACTTTTTTGGCTTCTATTTCCGAAATTATGCTTTTTGATTAGGTTTGTTTTATATATTAGTGTGGAGTGGAATTTTCTGTAACGGGATTGGATATTTTTTTTCGGTTTCGAGAGTGCGTTTTCGAGCAATAGTGCCGAATGTGTTAGTTGCTGTGAAATCGTGCTGCGTAATAGTGCATTTTCTTTTCTATTTCCGAAATTAGTCTTCTTGATTAGGTTTGTGCTATACATCAGTGTAGAGTGGAATTTTTGTCTAACTGAATTGAATACTTTTTTTCAGTTCGTTTTAGACTACGTTCCTGTGGTCGCTGTTTAATTGCTATGGCTAATGCTGGAGAAGATAACGGTGGTTCCCAATTCTTCTTTACTCTTGGTTCTCAATTAGATTTGCAGAATAAACAATCAACTTTCGGTTATGTTACTGAAGAAACTATATATGACATGCTTGAACTTGAAGAAGCACTTGTAGATGAGGTAAATTTAATGTTTATAAGAAAATGTATCAAGAATTGATATAAATATAATATTTCCTCTGTTTTGTAGAATGATAAACCACTTTATGCTCCAAAAATGATAAAAGCTGAATTATTGAACAATCCATTTACTGAAATTATACCAACAATAATAGTACAGGAAAGTGAAGAAGTAAAGGACAGGAATAAAGTAAAAATCATATATGTTTGTAGCATTTATCCATGATAGTATTATTCTTTGCAATGCAAAATTTTGTTACAGAGATTTCAATCTTTTATCATTTGGTGAAAAAGCAGAGAAAGATGAAGAAGAATTAAATAAAAAGTTTAGTGGTAAGTGCAAATCAGCTCATGGTTATTTAACTGATCCAAAAGTAAGCTCACAACCAGCTTGAACCACGTGTACTTGCAAATAAAAAAAGAAAGAAAGACCGTCAATAGCGATTAGGAAAGTGACGACGAAGTAAAAACTCAAGAAGAATTAGGAGTGATAAAGAAGGAGGGTTAGCTAATTGTTTACATTATAACTATGTTATAGAAGATAGGAATTTTTATTGACTGTCTTATATTTATATTTTCAGATCAATGAAGGAAAGGATAAAAAATAAAATGAAAGTTACAAGAAAAGAATTGTAAAATTATGGCGTTAGCAATTATCGTGTATGTGTGAAACTTTCAAAGTGAGTAAAAAGTATGTAAGCATATAACCATCGTAGTTTCATTTTCTTTTTACCAAGAATAAAATCATTCGCCTTCATCTATGACTTCATGTTCGTCAGGCTGTTAAGAGAATAATGAGAATGAGAATGTCCGACTCAATGCGTCTCGTGGTTTTCTATTCTTCGACTATGTTCAACGCCGACTATGTTCAACGCCAAATCTATGATTTTGGTCCAAAAGCTGAAGAGAGTAGCAGGAACACAGAATACAGGAGGTCGTTTAACCACATTATTTGATGAACAAGGACAGCTAGCGGTTAGAAAAGGACAGAGGGTATGCGACCGTGAAAAATCACAAATTTCGAATTTTCTGTACTTAATTTGTGAACTTTTGTAGTTGCATCGGAAAGCTGAAACTTTGAGCAACATTCGTATGTAATTTTCGTACATAATTTCATACGAATTAGTTAATTATTAATTATTATTTGATGGCATACGTGATTTGATATCAATCATTGGCATGGTTGTCAAACAATACAATTAATTATAGTCAAGACAAGAAGTTAATTGTGATCGAATATGATATGAGAAGATAAGCAAAGCATTGTTTTTCTAATGCGTGCATGAAGTTCAAAAATGGATTGCGCAGAAGAGAATTAAGCAATGGAGCTTTTTTCATATATGATATTTAAAATAAATCTGAACTTCTTTTTGAGCGTATTTATTAAAAAAAAAATTAAGTACACAGAATGTTGATATACATACATAGATATATAAATAATTAGCCTTAATACTAATTTGTATAGGCAAGATGTAAGGCACAATATGCTCTGTCATAAAATTTGTTCCATCATAGTATATACATAAATTTGTTCTTATTTATTCTTATTTGTTCTTCGCTTGTAAATTGATCTTCCAACCCCGTGAATTATCACGATTGTTTATTTTTTTAAATACAAAATTTAAATAATTAACATTATACTAAAAAATATGTTATATATAAAACGATGTAACGGTAAAAAAATTTTATAAATACTTATTTACAAACTTGTTTAATTTTTTTGATATTAAAATTTTGACTAATAAGATGCAACACTTTTTTATACGATTTCGAATAGTTTTGCACATGATTTATCATAAAGCTTCATTACCCTCAGGAATATAATATTGATCACTAAAAAAATTACGGTATATAACTCAAAACTAGGTAAATACTGTTATTCTACTATAATTCCTTGATATTATGTAGAAAATACTGTTAACCACGTACGACTGATTTGTCTATTCTTCTATTAGAAATTATTCTACTAGCAATGAGGTTCGTTCTAACGCAAAAATGAATCCATTAAAATTCTTATTTTACCAATTTCAACAATGATAACATGTGAATAAGCATACTACATGTTGAAACGATACAATAATAATTTAAGAAATACGAAAATTTGTATGACATTCCATTCTATTACAATTCAAGAATTTCCAAAGATTTCAATATCATCAATAACATTATAAAATATGTAGTGTAACGTAAAATACTAGCACAGCTGTCTTTTTCGTCAGGCACAATATCTTTCGCCTCTAAATATGACGTAATTACTAATGTCTCGCGTATTTACAACATAAAATAATGGACGCTAATTAATTTAAATCAGGAAACAAACGTAATACATAAAAGCTGCCTGGATTAGAATTAATATGAATTGGACGAATACGGTAAAAGCTACATGTCACAAAAATGAACAGTTCATAGAGGTCGTAAATTTTTCATTTGCCTGTGTTTAATTAGAACCAAACGTGCTAATGAGTATAAAAAGAAATAAAATATAACGAACAAGAGCAACAGGGATAGACAGATGAAAAGACGGAGTAATCGATGATATCGAACAGGTACTTAATAAATTTTAACCACTTCATAATCGATTACGAATTTCTTATTCTATTTTGAGCTTTAAAAAATCGTAGTTTACCGTACAAAGAAAGAAGAATGAAACCTAAAACTGAATGCGTAGGATATGATTGTTAGACGAATATATATCTAACAATCTTGATTTAAATACTTGAGCATACCTTTATGACACCCTGTAAATGTCTTGAAATGGTTTATCTATTATAAACCTAATAGATGACTAAAGTTTCTAAATAATAGTTCGAAATCTCACTAAGATAGGAGCATCATTGGAAGCAACAATGTTCATGCATCACTTTCTTCATAGATTCTCATTCCTACAAAAAGGAATATTTTATAAAAGTTTAATGTGACATTAGAAAATATGGCCTGGGTACTATAAGGGTTTTCTCAAAGCATAGGGAATATGTTTGTTAGCAGAAACACAGTTGGATAGGCAGTGGATCCCCAGAACAGTGGAGGCTCTCAGTTTATTGATGTGTTCACTGATCAGTTCCTGCCGTGTCGCTGTTGTTATGGTTGTTGTTGCTGTTGTTTTGCCCGTTAAGAAACGAGGCCATTTCCATCGGTGACTGTTGCCCGGTCTGTTTAGAAACATGTGTGTTCGTTTCGCTTCTTTCAGATCTCATTCAGAGAAGCACAGGCATGTAGATAATATATAACGTACGTGTGTGGTGTTCAGAAAATACGAAAGAAAAGCGGCTTCCAGAGAGAGTGCAGAGAGTGTACAAGTAGAATTTAAAGGACAGCACGCGACCAATTGCTAAAGCTACAAAAGACTAGTCTTCTTAATATCGAATAGTCTGAAAGCAGAAAGACGTTAGTTGAATGTAAACATAGATATAGTCGCGTGCGAAAATATGAAGGAGAAAAATGGTAGATATTTGAAAAAAATAAAAAGAAAAGAAAGAAGATTAAGAAATCGTAAAAACAAAAAATAAAAAAAGGAATAATAAAATAGTTAAAAGTTAAAAAATGGAGGCACAGTGAAAAAAAAGTCATTTATAAAAAATGGCGTACAGCTGTAATCCGTCGGAGTCTGCAATTCAACTCGTTATCGAGTCTAGTTATCGAAATGGAACTTAATCGGGCTTGATGATAATAATGATCGAATTAATGTGCTATCCCCGGGCTATACCTTGTGGATATGAATAGATATTGTGATTTAACATCTAGGGTCTTGTGTATCAATCTATAGGGCATGCGAAAAAAGTATGTATTTAGAACCAAAAAGGAAATTTCCAGCAAGAATGTAGTATTTGTGTACGTAAACACCGTATAATGAGGTTTACTTGCATACCATTAAGTGCGATTGTATCTTTTACCCCACAATTTATAAATATATCAATGATTTAAATTGAGAACAAACTTTTTACTTGGTTAATATTGCACTTAGTATTTATATTTTAATTAGTCTGAAATTGAACTCCACAGGATTACAAGCCGACAGAACACACACACGACAGTACGAATAGTCGCGATATTAAATACCGTCAAGGTGTATAAAATAGCCACGTATATACGCGACTAAGATCGTGTTTCTGTTCATTTAGTATACTGTTTTTATTTGCACAGAGAAAGTGAATGACTGTTGACTAACAGCGAGATAGATAATATTGATATAATATTTTTGTTTGTTTCTTGAAATAACAGCCCGCAGTCATTCTTTTTCTTTGACAAAGCGAAAGTATTAATATTGCTACTTACAAATACCGACCTTAGGCTGTATTATATCTTCAGATGTATCAAGACCAGCAAGAGGATTTGATGTTATATTAATTTTCGAGTCAGTTACTCCACCATTTATTACTCTTCCGTTTGTTATCGGCTTTCCTAAAATAAAGGATACATGTTTAACATTTATAAACACTTTTACTTCTTTCTCAAAATGCTATAATATTAAATTAAATGCTATAATAATTAATTTTACCTTCACTTTGTGATAATTCTCGGCTTTGTTTGTGCTTCGTTCTCTTATACACTACTGCAACAACAGTTACACTACCCAACAAAGTCGACCCACCAAGAACTCCGCCAATTATTACGTACATATTTACATTTTTATCATCCGCGGGCCTTACTCGGCTGTCTAACGTTAAATTGCTGCCATGATCACTTCGATTATCGTGATCGTTATGTTCGTTCGTATTCATAGCTTTTTTTGTTTTTTGTCGAAGGATTTGAGAAAATTCTGAAGCTGCATCCACAGAAAAACTCTGCACTTTGAATTCGTACGTCGTATCCGGTTGTAAATGGGAAATAGTTATATTAAAAGAATCTTTCCCTTCAACCGTAGTTTTTATATAATCTCCAGCTGAGGTAGAAGCTCGATGGTAAACGTAGAAACCATCAATATCTGCTGATTTATCCAGATTCTGCCAAATAAGTAGTACTTCCTGTGGACCTAAGGCTTCAGTGTTTGTTAATAGAGGTATTGGCATTTTGTTGCTCTCAATTCCACCATCCTTGTTAAGATGAAAACGCACGGAGTTAGGACTAAGTTTATTATCATTGTTTGAGTAAACTGCAGCAATTCTGAACCGATAAGTATGATTAGGTTGTAAATCGGTTACTTCAAACGACCGTATGTGTTTCGGTATTTCTGAGTTTGCGGTCATCCATTTAGCTTGTTTACCATTCATCTTCTGTCCAAGTTCTCGATACTGAACTTTAAAAAATTGAATTGGCAATCCTGTGTTCTCGGGTACGGACCACCTAACCATTACAGACATGTCTGAGAGTCTTGTGACGTTTGGCTGGTTCGGTGGTACTAACACCGCTAAAAATACATAGAACAGAATAAAAATAAAATAAAATATTTAACTGATGTACAAAGTGCAAGAAATTACCAGTTCCTTTACGCTTTCCCTCTTTACTTCTTCTTCTTCCCCCTCCCCTGATATGTTTGTGTCTTGGATTAGAAATACCATAATCCTGTCTAATTTCAGTCGTTCCAATGTGCTGTTTAGGATTTACTCTTAATAAATTACAACCAGAATGAGACCCATACTCGTTGCTTGCAACGCACTGGACAATACCAGCGTGTTTTTTTTCAACTTCAGAAATAAGAAGTGTGGAACCTTTGATTTCCATATTCATTTCCACTCCATCGCCGGGAGTCAAAGATTCCCCATTAATTAACCATTCGACTTTTGGCTGTGGTTCGCCAGTTACCGCGCAAGAAAGCTCCAATTCTCCACCCTCAGAGAATGTAGACGCTTTCGGCGGTTTAGTTACTTTTGGGATTTCCATAACTTTTAGTATGATTACGGACTTGATGTGCATATTTTTGCTACTCCATACACAATCGTATTCCCCTCTATCTGCTGACTGAACGTTAATTATCGTTAGACCCATCGGAGTTTTAATGGAGTTCGATGGCAATACTCCACCTAATCTACTCCATGTGACAGAGGGCACTGGATAACCAGCTCCAAAGCACTCCAAAGTTACGTTTTTGCCTCGTAAAACTTTATACTCTGTTTGTGGTTGTTTAATAAAATATGGTGCTAAAAAGCTGTTGTTCGTGAGTACATTTAGAATTATTTTATGATTACTTGAATATAGTTGTGTAGTTATATAATTGCTAGCGGTACAATGATAAGATCCATTGTTCGATACTTTAACATTTTCAATAACCATGGTTTTGCTACCAATTATGTTAACATTTTGTAAAGGATTATTATCTTTGTAAAATTGAACTATCGCCTCCGGGGCAGAGTAAGGCACAGGACAGGTGATAGGCACGATATTCCCTGCTGGAACGTTCATAATAATGTCGGTCTTATCGGAAAACTTCTGTAATGTAGCAAGCGTTAATCTTGCTGGGTCAGAAGCTAAACCACTTGAACCTAATAGACAGAAGACTAAGTTACCAAAATATTCTTTCAATATTACAAGAAATGTTAGATAAAATAGAAAAGGTTACCATAAAAAGCAATGCAACGGTAATCTCCAGCTTTCGATTCGTTATCGAAGTTTACCACGTGCCTAGATGTTTTGTCACCATTACTAAGTGTGTGGAAAACTGACAACCACTTATTTGCACCCAATGGTCTATGATGCCAGGAGAAACGGTCTGCGCCGAGATTTAAATTGCATTCAAAATTTACGTCATCGCCGATTGGAGCATCCAAGGGTTGAGGATGCCTGGTGAAGAACATGCCTAGCTCCTGTCTTTGTCCTATTGAATCATAACAAAAATATGTTGAAAATATAATTACATAATAATATATTAAAAATAAAAAAATGTGGAAAAGAAATCACCATATGCAAAACTGGATAGAACATGAAGTAGAACCGTGACAACGGCACATAGGGAGGACATAGATCGCATCTTGACACATTCTACAATCAAGAAAAACAAAAGTTCATTATACATCTTTCCTTCTTTTCGCTGATTACTTTTTCGACCTGGTTCTCGAAGACTCGTAGAAGCTCGAGGCGCCAGTCACAAGAGAGAAAGAGTGAGGGTCTACTAAAATTAATGCTGGCCAACCACGTTTAAGTTTAGAACATGCTGAGTTCATGTGGAAATAGAACGTATTTATTCTAGTTTTGATCACGACTCGTCATTTCGGCACGAACGCACGCCTTCCCTCTGCATCCTATCAAATGGGTCGCACATTCCAAACCCTGCGAAATATAGTATAATGCAATTTGCATATGTTAGCAAACGCGATTTGTTTTAAAAGATTCTGCCGCGCTAACAATTTCACCAATCATGACAATTCTTAGAGAGTAATGAAGGAAGATGGATTCGCGCATGAAATTTTGCCGTTTTTACTGTAGTGATTTACAAAAAGCAAAATAGAAAGGATAAATCTTTTATCAACTCTTACAAGTTTATTTTACAAATAATAATTGTACAATATTTAGTATTATCACGGTAATGACGTTTTCCATATGATTATAACCTACGTGTTATTATATATCTACAAAAGGTTTGACCTGCATTAAACAAGACATTAATGCGTGAGAAAAGCATCTCTTTATTTCTTCCACCTAAAAAAATAAATCAGTTAAGTGAAAGAAGAAATTTTGAATTACATTCAAAACATTTGGTTAAATATCCAAACAGTTTTTTGAAGATATATCAGCAATATAAATATGAGCGATGAACTGCATCGTGACAAACAAAGCGAACAGAGGTACCACAATAACAACACGAAATTGACCATGTACGGTGTTAGAAACTGCCGTTCGTTGCGCGCACCGCTTTCCACCCACGTGTTAACACTTAATCGTTGTAAGTGACGATCAGAAAACCGTGCTGACACGTCAAAGACCGATGGAAATTATTTGTTGGCTAACATATGTGTTAGATGTAGGTAGATCCATTCATGGATTACACCTTGCCGCTCGCCTACGCAATAATTTAATATACGAAATTAACACGGAAAGTTTTTATCCCATAAAAAGATAAACACAATACGTGGATATAATCACTTCTGATATGCTCGAAAAATTTGATTTCTTATATTTTTGTTAGTTAAGTTAATATTTCTCTGATAAATATGTCATGAAATAGAAAGAAACAAATCAATTTTGTGTAACAATTTTGTAACGGTTAGAGCTAATACAAAAACCTTTTTATAGCGAGTCATAGTTCATTATAGAGGATAGGAAATTTGCTCGAGCAATTGTTTGAAGGATTCGACAATCGAACGAAAACTATTTTTCATTGGAAACGAAATTGCAGAGACAAAAAGCACACGTTTGACCCATTGGCGAGATAGTTGAGCGTGTTTTATGTACGGAAGGACCCTTAACTTTTGGTTAAATGGTAGCATAAATGTCTATGGTATGTAACAGGTGAGAAGGGTACCAAAGAGGCTGGTTTCCGACGTTGCCTCTCATAAAAATAAAGAACTCGAATTCCAAAGCAGTGGTTGTCAAGCCCTTGGGCCCCGCGCGCGCGCCACAACGATCCTCCACGTACCTAACTTTATGGACGAGCCAATGCCACCCGGGTTACGCACGCACACACATATAACATAACACACAACACTATACAGCTAAACAAGAATTAGACTTGTTTTTACAACCTGTCGTTGACCAAGAGAACACTCAATCTCCGAAATACCTTTTGCATTGATAATCCGTCAAGCCGATTAAAAATCTCCATATAAGAGAACTGTATTTCACTTTCATGAATTCGTAACTTTGTAACTTTCCTTGTTGATTAAATTTTCTTACAGTCCAATCACATGTAACGCATCTTGTTTGTATTTTATTTTTACAATTATAATTTACTTAAAATTATAGATGTTATGTTGATGCTGATACCTGTTTTCTTATTTTAATATTAAATAAAATTATTGTGAAAAATTCCAAGAACAAGGTGCAAATAGTAGAGATTTTGTCAAGAAAAATGTAATTACGATTAAGTTATGATTAAGCTAAAGAACTACGATTTTCGTACATTTTTGAGTTCTTCAGATACTGTACTATCCATCCATTTATTTATTTTATAAATAAACCGTTTAATAACAATCTTAAAATTACATTCCTGTGTAATTGTGTTATTATACTGAAGTTGTATTGAAACTGATATTAATTTTTATACGAGAAAAACTACGCTATTCCGTTGTGCGTAACAAATAAGAATTAGGGAGATCAGGTTCCTGTCGATCGAACGTATTTGACAAGTGGATTCTTCCTTTCTGTTGATCATTAAATAATCACACAAACTATTACTTTCCATATATCATCGTATTTTATCTCGATATAAGACACATGACTAACTTAATTTTCCTGCTCAACATGCATGTCAATTGCTTGGTAAAACGAGCGATGAATATTTAGACCTATACGTGTCATATACTATTTTAATCTACAAATACTTTCGATAGTCACAACTTATTTCATCATTAATATTTCACTTTTAATTAAATTATCTCATTTCATAGCTATTAATTAAATAACAACATTTAAAAAACAATATCAGTGTTAAGTTACAGACATAATTTAATTGAATAAACTTTACTGAAAAATTCACAATTTAACCGTATTACTACGCGTATCAAAATACATACGATAAGGCTTTAATCAAAAAGTATATAAGGTATATACCTTATTAGAACGCAGGCGCATTAAGTAGCGCGGTATTATCCGAACTAACATTTCTTCAATTGTCAATAATTTAAATTACTAGTACTACTACTTAAAACATATAATTAAAGAAACTACATTATCCATTACAGTCAAATTTCACTAAAAATACTGGTGGCTCACCCCTTCCGGCAGGTGATCTCTTACGGCGACTCCGCAAGAAAAATTTTTAATGATAGGTAGTTATTTAATACAATTTTCATTATATGTATTTTTTACTAAGAATCATAAATTCGAGTAAAATGTCACAAAGCAGAAAAATTAAAAAAAGAAAAAACATCAGCGACAAAGAAAAACAAAACAAATATAATCATGCTTGACACACTCACCCTTTTTCCTTCGATCCAGTCGTATGATCTATCCGTTCCAGATTCTTTGGATTATGCGTAAACTAATCACAATCTTCCTCACGGAGGAAAACGACAAGTCCGTTAATAATTTTTACCGGCGAATCGCTTCATTTTTTCATAGCGATTGTTGCAAATTTTGACGACTTCAAACTACTACAGAACACG